TCCCTACATTCATCACAGTAATGGCTCAACTGATCGTTAATTGCTGTTAGGAAATGTGTAACACATGCTGTAGTACTATAATGAAACGCTTAAAAGAAACACAATTACCTTAACTGATAACAACACAGACTGGGCCAGAACAAGCACAGCAATAGTTCTCTTAAAAAATGGATGCTGAGTTATATCATACATCTTGGCTCTAAAGCCATCGTTATCTGAAAAAAGAAAGAGTTTGAGGAGGAGAGTTAAAATACACAGTGTTATTTTTCCCCTATTTCTTCACATATTTTCCATGTTCATTAGTGGCAAAATAATCCTTTACCAGTTTCAAAACACATTTCTAATTTTCTGCTACAATTTTCCATATCAAATAGGGCTTCTGAACATATAATTTCAAATACTGAACACTAGTGTTGCATGAAGGCTTTGGTACTTGTAGGGCAAGTGCATCATTCAACTGCTGTCAGGTTAATACATTCCATTCATATCATTAACAGCCAACTGCAAACATATTTCATTTAGAAATTCATTTTTTCATTAAGGCTTATCCTAAAACCATCGAAGCACAAGCTTTTGGGGGTTGATTTTAATAGCCTTATGCAGAGATCTGTAGTTGGAGCCTGTTTCCACATTAACTTATGCACAACCTCCTAGTGGCCTCACGATTACAATTTTAATTTGAATCACAGACTCCTGGGGAATTATGAACACTAGGGCTCAACATGAATAAAATCAAAATATCTTTGATACCCGGACGAGGTGGGAGATGAAGAGGTTGTGCTATCTTCAGTCTGCTTTTCAGATCTTCCCATCGTCTCTGATCTACAGTCAGTAAAGCTGTCCCCTTAATAAACAAAGAGAAGCGTATAAAGCTTTTGTCATATAAAAGCTAGAACATTTAATGCTGTAAACATGAAAACAACATTCTCTTTGGTGCCTGAAATAAAGTTACATACGCAACTCTCCTTAAATAACACACTGTTTGGGTAAAGGAGTCAAAATATCAGCCAGTACTCAAGAGGATTTCTGGATGCATTAGCTCTGAGTTTCTGGGACTCAACTCAGCAGGCACAGTTGTTGCTCTTTGTAGCAGCAGCCCAGGGTGGGCAGTGAAACGCTGCAGGAGTTCTTCCATTTGACCGAACATCATTTGCCAGGAAGCGCTGGAGTGGCCGATTTTGTCCGGACTTTGCTGCAGGAAATCCCGCAGCTCATCAGTGCCACTACGGTTTCTCAGGGAACGAGCCCTCTACGAGACTGCTGCCGCTCTCCACAGCTCTTCTGCTTGGGGTGTAATTGAAATAAAATAATAGTATGCTATGAATGTACCAGAGCTCTCCACAAAGGAAGCACAAGGAGAGGTGGAGGTACACCTTTAGGGTGGGCGGTGGTAGATGGTAATGTGTGTAAGTGTTTTCATAACATGGGAAGAAACAAGCAAACCACAAACAGAATTCAATGTTATTTAAAGTGACCTTCAAAACAAAATGAGGCCCTTATCACTTCAGAGAACTGTAAAATCTCATGGAAGGACTCTGGAGTTACAAAAACAAGTGAGACCTTTTCAAGGTAAATGTCACAAGCCTGTCTCCCAGACACTCAGCTGCTCCCCCCGTCAGCATGGAGCCGCACCGAGCTGGGCAAGGGCTGGTGTGAACTTTGGGGCTTGCCTCGGCATTGGCTTGTGTAGGCGCTGGAACTGCGGCTGGCTGTGCGACTGATAAGGTCAGATGAGCTCCCTCTCAGGGGACGTAATCTCTTTATGGAGCTGCGTCCCCAGACGGCACCCTGGGAGGAGGTGCCTTCTAACAAGATGCAGACAAAATGACAGATGTAAGGACGCCTACCACTCAAGTCAGGCCCAGACCGTACCGTTTAGAAAAGCTTCAATTCAAAGGCAGCTCATTCACCCAAATGAGCGTGTCTGGTTTATATTCTCGGAGAGCTTTCACCACAAAGAAGACAAAAGGTGGCAAAAAAAGTGGACCTTTGTAAAATTTAGAAATAGTGATGAGAAGCTGCTCTGTTCCTCAGAAACTACCACTTCCACCAGTGGGATCATTACAAGGGGACTGTCCTGGTTTCGGCTGGGATAGAGTTAAGTTTCTTTGCAGTAGCAGGCATAGTGTTGTGTTTTGGATTTAGTAGGAGAAGAATGTTGATAACACGCTGATGTTTTTAGTTGTTGCTAAGTACTGCTTATGCTAGTCAAGGACTTTTCAGCTTCCCATGCTCTGCCAGGGGCACAAGAAACTGGGAGGGGGCACAGCCAGAATAGTTGATCCAAACTGACCAAAGGGTTATTCCATACCATATGACGTCATGCTTGGTATATAAACTGGGGGGGGGTTGGCCGGGGAGCAGCGATCGCTGCTCAGGAACTGTCTGGGTATTGTTTGGCGGGTGGTGATCAATTGCATTGTGCATCACTTGCTTTGTATAGTATTATTGTTATTATCATTATTATATTGTTATTATTATCATTACTATTTTACTTTATTTCAATTATGAAACTGTTCTTATCTCAACCCAGGAGTGTTTCTCACTCTTACTCCTCCGATTCTCCCCCCCATCCCATCGGGGTAGGGGGAGTGAGCGAGCGGCTGCGTGGTGCTTAGCTGCTGGCTGGGGCTAAACCACGACAGGGACCACAGAGCAGAGCCCCGTGAGTGGGACTACTGAGCTGTGTTTGCATTTGGACTTCAGCTCAAAACTGCCGGATAATATCTGAGTCGATCACACCTTCACTGCTGACTGAACACGTGGCACTTGGGAGCTGTCACAAGCGGGGTGCAGGGGTTGTGAAATGGGGGGTGGTGGAACACTTTGGGCTACTGCCCTGTTGCTGGGACAGCTGAGGACCCAGCCCAGAGCCCCCTATGGTACTTCCCAGTCCAGCGTCTCGAGGCCTGTAGCTCTGACAGCTCACATGAAATACTGTGGCATATCTAAAAATATTTCGGGTTTTTTCTTTAGAAAATTATTCGTTCTCATGTAAAATAGTTCATTCAGTTATTGTGCAACTCTGACCCTCCTCACCAACTACTGGCACTACTCCAACCATGTATCAGCCATGAACTTTCTAAAGCCAACATCTACTTAAAACACCAATAGCTTGGCCAGTTTTAAGAAAACGCAACTTAACCTCACTCAGAGAACTGTTTTGCTCTCTTCTTTCTGGACTAATTGCTGGTCTTCTGTCTATCTTACTTCACTTTTTTTTCAGTTCATGGACATTTCTTCACGCTGCTTGAATATTGTTTGGGCTGAGATTTTTTCCCCCACTCCATAATTAACCAACATATTTATCTTTTCAACTCAAATCTGAAAACATTTTCTCTTCCCTATAGAAAATACATAAAAAGTAACAAGTATTCAAGAAAAAAGAGAGAAAAACAAACATTACATGTCACAGCACCTACCTGAGGTTACTAAGAAACAACTGAAGAAGCTGAACCAGACGACATTATTCATGAATGATTTATACTGGCTGTATTTTTAGTATCATGTAAATTCTACAGAAATATTGCATGATGTGCTTGTTCAGTGTAATTTAAAGGGAACTGTTATTAGTGAGTAGCTTTTCTGATGTCCAGACTAATCCTTTCCCTGTTCAGATATGGAATTGAGGGACTAGAGCATTCATACCTGAAAAAGTGGCTGTAGTTTGAGGAAAACATACAAGCCAAGAAAACCACCCAAAAGGATAAATGTAAAAATCAGATAATTTTCTGAAAATAATGAGAACTCTAATTCAGGCCCTACACCTCAGACTTCCACATTTACACTGGCAGCTCATGCAGGGGCAATCTGGGCTAAAATGAATTGTTTATCTCCTATGATCACAATCCTCATAAGCCTCATGTTCACACCTTCCTGTTCCCTCTCATTTTTAAACACAGTGAGCATGAAAAAACTTTCAATTTCCATATGAGTTTGAGCTGTCCTGTGTCTTTAAAGCTGCATATCTAGGAGGAGGGAATGAAATATGAATCCGATACACAGTCACATATAATTAAGGGTATTTTTCCCCGGTTCATGTTCATATTTTAAACCTTAAAAATAAAAAACTGGTGAAAGATTTACGCTGATATTGTGGATAAATCATTTCAAAAGTAACCTGTGGGTTGGCCCAGATCACCTTATTCCATAGCTGACAGTCAACTACACAGATGAATAATGAGTTAATGACATCTCACTAATCTGTGAAAGAAATCTCACAAGCTGCCTTTGCAGGAGACAGGCTGACACAGTGAACTTGATCTTGTGAGTGACTCAAAGAGTGGGAACTAAGGGCAAAAACACTGTCTAGGAGATTGACAGATCTTAGTAAGATTTGGCCTATTGTCACAAAAGTATATCAAAAGTCATACTAGTATGGGCAAAGATCCAGCTCCTCTGGTACCTTTTTTCTATGACAAGGGCCAAAAGTAGATGCCTGTAGGTGTAGCAAAGCAATCCAGAGCAGCAACTGGCTCCTGATGATTCTCAGTTGCCCACAGAGCTGTCTCATAATTCATGACAGATGCATTCAAGACCACGTGCAAAACTAAAGGGGAAACACGCACCACACCTCAACAGGGTAAAGGAAAGATGTTTGATCAGCCATGATCGGAAGCTATTTAAGAGCAAACTCTGTAATGCGATATGTCTTCTTCTTGCCTACGCTTGTGCCTATGAACAGTTTTTTGAGGAAATCAACCTGTGTGGGAAGTGTAAAGGGGAATGAAGAAACAATTTATATGATAGAAATGCTCAGCTGACATCTCAATAGAGTTTCATGAACTATGATGTACATGACAGAAACTTATATAGGTGAATACATCATAGCTATAGAAGAAAAACATTAAAATAAATTTAACATTTCAAATAATATTTTAATTACCTATAACTTAAATAAAATGACTTAATCTTTTTTTTCAAGACTTGCTGAAAAACATTTTGTATTCATCAGTGTAAGGCTGACACATTTGAAGGAAAAATAATGTTACACAGCTGATCAGGAAGGGACAAAAGCATCTATAAAAAGCCAGTGGAATTCTCATACTGGAGAAATGTCAGCTTTGTTAATTCACTAGTCGAAACCTAGTGAATAAGAAAATAAATGAATAGCACATCGCTCCTTGTTCTTTAGAACAAGTATTTTAACAGGATTTTAACAAGAATGACTGCGCTTCATCTCACCAAAATTACTCTGGAGTCATGCAAACATAAAAATACCTTCTGAACAGCAGATGTTCTAGGCTATTTATTTGGCTCGCAACCTGCTTGTCCTTTCCAACCTTAGTGATTCCTAGTTTTACTTTCATTAAAAATAATCCAGTCACCAAGCCAGGAAACATGAAATTAATTCTTACCCTACCCTTAATTGGTTTAGTGGTGGACTTGGTAGTGTTAGGCTAATGGTTGGACTTGATGATCTTAAAGGTCTTTTCCAACCTAAACGATTCTATGATTCTATGACTCAAGTCATGACGCCTTCCTTGCCCTCATAGGACACACGGTAGTCTGCTGCTCAGCTCCCTTCCAGAAGGAGTCAAGTGGTTTCCCTGAAGGGTAAACTCAACAATTGTATTTGCTACGGAGTTTGGGCCAGGGCCATAGCAGGGCCATGGCCAGCACCCAGTTTGTCTCCAGCAATAGCACACTGGTTGTCTTGCATCCCCAAGCCCCAGAACGCACAATCATCCTTTCCCTCTAGTGCCATGAGTGATAAAAATATCATGCTAGCTAGCTGCAACACAGACATGTCATTATTTTTGGGACCTTGAACTCAAAAATGAAAAAAAAAAAACTTATGCCTTGGTGCCATGGGAGCACCAACAAGAGGCTCAGAAAAAAAAGTCAGATTAAGGGCTGTGCGGTGTGTATGTGGCCGTCCCATCCAGAGGATGCTATCTTTAACAAGTGTAGACATGAGCTACTCAGTAACAATTCACCTTGGGACAGGTTTTTCTACTTTTCAGGGTAATCCGCAAAGCCCACGTGAACTGCAGCTTTTTCTTAGAACACTAGCTACTTTTTTGTTTGAGTGATGGACAATTTTACAATGCACTCTGCTGTTTGCCAGGAAAAAGCCACACAGCTTTACTTTGGATGTGAAATACTGCAGTTGCAGGGCTTTAATGAGACCCCTTAGTTGTAACACGTACAAGCATAACATGTCTTTTTACCTGACACTGCATGTATGCCTACATCAAACTAAAACAGCAGAATCTGGGGCATCTGTAAATACACTGTGCTTTAGGTTCCATCTCCATCTGGCAACACGGCTGCATTGTAAAAAAACTCAGACAACTTTCATAGAATCACAGAATCCTTGAATGCTTTAGGTTGGAAGGGACCTTTAGAGGTCATCTAGCCCAAGCCCCCTGCAGTGAGCACGGACAATTTTTAACCAGATCAGGTTGCTCAGAGCCCCATCCAACCTGACCTTGAATGTTTCTAGGGATGGGGCCTCCACTACCTCTCTGGGCAACCTGTTCCAGTGTTTCACCACCCTCATCGTAAAAAATTTCTTCCTTATATCCAGTCTAAATCTATTCTTCTTTAGTTTAAATCCATTATTCCTTGTCCTGTCACAACAGGCCTTGCTAAAAAGATTGCCCCCATCCTTCCCATAGGCCCCCTGTAAGTACTGGAAGGCCGCAATAAGGTCTCCCTGGAGCCTTCTCTTCTCCAGGCTGAACAACCCCAACTCTCTCAGCCTGGCCTCGTAGGAGAGGTGCTCCAGCCCTTGGATCATTTTTGTGGCTCTCCTCTGGACCCACTTCAACAGTTTTGTAGCAAATAGGGATCAGGTGTCTCTGAAGCCATACTTGCAGGCTTGCAGAATCTAAGATTGGTAAGTCAGTCTTAAAGGCAGTCATAACAGTGTATGACAGGTAACATAAACAGTGTCATATCAGTTTCAGGTTTCTTACAGAGTCAGTTCTACACACGATAAACCACCTCACTCGGTACCTTGTTTTCATTGAAATTAGCGATGACAACTCCAACGAAAAGGGTCAGTCCAATCATGCAGCCAAGGAATACAAAAACATGAATGTAGATTCCATGGATCTGCATAGACAAAAATAAGATTAATCGTTAAAACAAATCAAAATATGATTCTATGATTCTATGTGTTGTAGAATTCAAAGACTCTGATGTGCTTCCTTACCGGCCCAACGCGATGAATAATAACATCTCTGACTTCCACCCAGCCTTTTAATGAAAGAACTTCAAATAGCGCCAGCATTGCATTCCCCACATTGTCAAAATTAAAATTCCGAGGATTTGCCCTGAAATGCAGTATACAAATAGGTTTAACTTCAGCAATAAAGTTGTTCTTTCTATTTGTTACTTTGATTCTTCATAGTCTAACATTTAAATACCTTGCAAAGTTGGTGTGAAAGCATTTGAATAATAAAACAATAGCAACAGCAACAAATGTGTACAGTGTAATCTTTTTTGAACCCTATGTATGTTTTGTTCTGTTACTCAGAATCTGATTCACAGTAGTAAAGCTTATAATATGTTGCGGCATTTTAGTGTTTTTGTCAATGAAATTAGCAAAATACAGCATTCATCAAAAAGTGGATCTGATGGCATTGGCTAGATTCTAAAATAAATTTACCTGAAGGAGACCAGTCTCATACCCACATAAATGATTCAGACTCCAAAGTCAGTGAGATCGTTTAGAAAATTAAGTTCCTTATTTCATTATCATTGGGAACCAATGGTCTAAAGCAAAACTTACTGAGAGGACATTACCACTTCTTGGCTTTCCTATATTATACACTCTGACCTTTTGTATCAGTTGAGATTCAAGAGGATGTTTCCAGCTGTATATTAAAAGTAGCCTCTTTGGGCTAGGTTAGCACATTGCTTTGCCTCTACAATCTGAGATAGATAATCCAAGGAGCCCAATTAATGTTCAAGAATTTATAAGGTAAATAGTTGCATTCCAGAAGAATTGTTAAGTGTTTGGCACTTCTGAAAATCCAAACATTCAGCGAAAAAGACAGCTCTCAGATGCAGATATTTCTTTTAAATGCAGTCTTTATACTGACATCCAGCTCTTGGAAATCTGGCCTGACACAGCCAACAGGTGGTATGAATGTCCTTGCAGTAAACCATTTTCTGCAATAACAAAACATTTGCCAAAGTTATGCTGATTATGACAGTTTTTGCTTATTTCTGGATCAAGCTGAAGAGGATTGAATTTGCTTACTTGAGGAAGAATTTGTCTGAAGCACACAGAAACAGAGACTTCTGCAGATGTCAGAGTTTCACTGACTGCTCAAAACGCAGCATATTGTTTCATTAGTGTAGGATGGCTCTGAATCTACCACTGCTGGTACATTCTTTATCCATGCAGAGAGTCAATTAAAATAATTGTGGCTGTTTAGCTGATTTTGCAAAATGCCAACCAACTTAAAAATATAAACAATTAAAAAGAGGGTTTTTTGCCTGTTCAGGTGTTGGGAAATATTAAATGGACTTTATCAGAACACTAATCATAAACAGAACGTTAGCTCTTAAATAATTTTTACTGCATTACTGCACCAGATAGACCACAAGGATTCCTTCCTGCATGCGAAACAGAAAGAAGCTGCTAGCTGGCATGGTGAATGGCCACAGAAGAGAAAGGCTGGTTTTAGGCATGACTTGCTCATTGTTTTTTTGTGGGTGACTGTAGGCAGGCTGATTTAGGTTTTGTTTTTGAAGTACGGCTCTCAGTATGTGTTCATAATAGTACTAAAGCACAATTAAGTGATAATCTTCGTTCAAGCCAATAACCGCCACTGTAATAATAATCACATCTAATTCCTATCTAGGTTCAGTACCTATGGGTACTTCTTTATGAATAGAACAGCAGGTTAAGACTGGAAAAGTTTCATATATCTGGCTTTTTACTAAATATACCAGAATTTTTACCCTTAATATCATCTAATTTACAATAAAAACCCTACATCAGTAGTTCAATGCCATGAGATTTAAGCCACATTCTACATCAAAAGCTGAAAGATAGGCCAATGTGTAGCAACTCACCAGACTCGTGGCACCCAAAATCCAGGCTTTTTCTCTCCAGGTCTTAACTTTAAATTGAGATTTTTGGAAACACTTACATTTATTCTGAAGATGCCATGACAATCTTCCTATAGTGAAATAAACCACAGCCTGAGATTAAATAATGGCCTGTGAGACATGCCAGAATGCCAGTATAGACAGCATATTTGCCATGATGGCAAAGCAATATAAACAGGAATGAAGGGTTATTTATAGGTCTGGGATTAATAGCCATGGACCTTCACCCAAATGAAAAATGCATATTAGGAAGGATTTAAAAAACTCTTCTCCTTCCAGGACTAAGAGTGCTTTTCATTTTGCAAGACTATCTGGCCATTTACCTCTCTCCTCAAGACCATTGCTCTCTTTAGGTGACGATATTTCTTCAAATGGAGTAAGAAATACAGCTAGCTTTCTTCATGTAACCTACATAGCATTCCCAGTGCTTTTGACCTCTAGCAGCCTAACCTGGTTTTTAGCTGCTGACCTAGGAATGCAAAGGTGTCATTTTCCATGGTTAATTCCATGTGACATCCAGTTCTTTGCAGATAATGTGGCATGAATTTGACAACTTTTTCAGACAGTCCCCAATACCTGGACTTGATTTACTTTTTTACATGAAAACCCAGCCTTACCCTCATTCACTCACTCTTTTATCACCTTTCCCTCCGTTATCCTGCTTCTGAACAAGAAAATGCCCAAGATCTCCATCTTTCAGTTGATAGCTCTGATTGCCCCACTTGCTTTCCCCAGCAGGCAGAAATGGCACAGCTTACTATTATTTTGAAGCAGGAAAGCAGTTCTTACCCTAGAGATGATGTGCGGATCATTGCATTTAGCCAGTTTTCCAGCAAACAGCTGCACTCCAAAGCTTGCGAAAACAAGCATTAATGTCAGCAAAAGAATAGAAACCTGTAAAGATGAAGTTAAACTTGTGAAGGTCTCCTCCTGCAGACTTGAAAAAGGGGATCAGATCCTTCCATGAACTGCAGGGAGGATAGTTTTGTTGCATACCTGGAGATAAGACTTTCATGACTGACATGTTACTTTAGGTTCTGATCCAGTAACCAGGTGCTGTGTTACTATTAATATTATTATTAACATAGCATCTAAGAATTGTAGATAAGGATCAAAGCTTTTTTGCACTCAGTGCTCAGTGTACAACGTTGCTAAATTCTGCATGCATAAGAATGGCCATTCGCTTTAAAGAGAACTCTTCAAGTAGTTAAGTATGTGCTGTTTCTGTTTTGCTGAATCAGGCTTTACTAATTAATTAACCAGGTTTACTTGTGTTCTTGCAGCACTGCCACACCCTACTTCTCATCTTCCTTCCCCAACTAGAACTGTGAATAATGGGTAGATTTTATTTCAGTAGTCCTCCTATGTAATTAGGGCCAAATATATATGGAACAAATCTAATTTATAAAAGAATTATTACAGCAGCTTTATTCAGTATAAATGTAAATGAGTTACTTTTGTTCCTAATTTTTAACCTGTTCTGGTGGTCATCTGTGGTGGTAGCCACAATGAAAAGTAAACAGAAAACAACGGAGAAAAGATTAGAAAACATAAACCTTATAGCAAAATGCTATCTTATTACTCCTCCATATCTTCTTTTTAACAACAAGAACAAAATAATTGGCACATACCAAAAAGATTTCCTTAAAGCCACTAAACAGCTCGCGCACCACTTTCCTCATCTGAGGGACCAGTTTGAAAATTCGAAGAGGTCGGAGGCAGCGGAGTACCATTAAAAGCTGAGCTCCCGATTTGGCAGGGACGTTCTGAGGCATCCAGCAGAGGAATATCAAACTTACCTTGAGGAGACAGAGCAGAAAAAGATAAAGAAGGATTAGGCTTATAATGTCTTACTTGACATAGACACGGCACGGAAGATCAATAAACACTTCTCTTCCTTAAAATTAAAGGGAAAATTAAGGCAAAAAAAGCCTAATTTAGAAAAAGGACTTGGATGTCCTGTGGCCTGGCTGATTGTCCTAACTAATGGGCATCAGCTTCAGCCTCCATCTTCCCCTTTGACTCAAAATATATTTTATTCTTTTCAGCAGATGGAACAGTTCCAAAAGAAGAAATCAAATTGGCTGATTCAGAGCAGGGACACAAACTACATTCTTGGAGCAGGCAGCATCATCTCTCCCCCCACTTCTCACTTCAAACAGAGATTCTATCCTGAAGCTGAGATATCCTCACCTGGAAAGTCTGTTAACAGTTTCCTCACCAGTTTTTCCTACCACTTTGTTACAGGCATAAGTAGTTTTGTCACTGTGTGGTTCGATCACACAAATATTATGCATTCAGACGTGTTTTCAAGCAGCATACCTGTGTCTTGTAGCCTGAACAAAATCTGACAGATGGTTATTGATTATAAAGTCTGTTAATTACTTCTTATTTTTTAAAATGTATTTATAAAGCCAATGCTATTACAGGGGGACAGAGGTGAGAGTGTTACAAAGAGGTAAGTGCATGAAAAATGGAGGATCAAGCTGCTATCACCAATATGATTTAAAACATAATATGATTTGTTAAAAACAACAGTGTTAAAAGACAGCCGCCCCACCAAAACAAAAAGATTTGCTAGTGCTTCTGACTTTCTGTCATATTCTTTTAAGATCACCACAGGCACATTTGGAATATCCAAGCTACACCATCTAAATTTTCCTTCAGACAAGCAGAGGGTTTCAGAGGGATTTCAAGAAACTAATGCACATACTGATTATGCATTCTACAGTAGGAGTTTTGTATAAGTATGCATATTTTTATTTATGCTAACAATGGAATCTTTGATACAAATTGATCATGACAAATTTTATGCAGCACATCTGTCTGGTGGATTAATCTCTGAAAGATTTAATCTAAATCCATCAAAGCCATTTTGCTTAGTAATTTCTTCAGTTAGAAAATATTTCATACTGTGTTATACTGAGTACTGATTTTGTCACATTCTGTGGTGTTTATTGTCATACATGAAGGGGAAACGGACCCCCTTCTCTTGTGTTTGAATGGAATGCAAGAAATTTCCAGGGGGCAAAGAAAACAGTAGAACAATTTTTTCCTGAGAACGACTACTGATAGGTATGGAATATAGAAAGATGCTGCTTTGCTTGCTTTCTGCTACAGCAACACTAGCAACAAGGATGTGCCTTTCTGTCAAATGCTAGAGGCTTTTGAAACACCTTCTATAAAGCAGGAGAACTGCTGAGAGGGGAGGAAGCAATGAATGTCTAAGAAATAGATAAAATAAAGATCCTCCTGCATAAATATGCTGAAGCAAAGTCGGAGATCTTGAGCTTACCTTGGAATGAAATCAGGACTGATACTTAAAACATATCAACAAATAAATAATTAAAAGGGGCCACACAATGACCCTACGCTAAATTGCCAGGTGCTTATCACATGTCAGCGTATTTTTAGATGTCTAAACAAGTATTTGTACACATAACTGACAGGACTGCAAATGAAAACAGTAGTGTTTGTGCACAAATGACACTGCTGCATTTGCACCAGGGTGCAGAGCCAAACTTTTTAACGTTATCAAACAGTTATGTATCCAAGGATATAAAACCTGAGAATGCTACAGAAACCTCCCATAAATATAAAAACTTACAAGATATATAAATATGTCCATAACTCCTCCAAAGTCCCTAATGACAGCTGTTGGTGTAAAAAACAAGCCATCTGCCATAATCTTCAGATTAAGCTCAATGCTCATGAATATAACAAAAACATATTCAGCAATCTGAAAATCAAAGCAGAGAACAGTCATAATTTAGGAACAGGCAGTAGAGAAAAACAAGGTGACTGTGCTGCATTAAATGTAAAATGATTCGGTGACAGTACCTGGAGTGTTGGAGCGTGCATAACTCTTCTAAAGGGGGATTCGAACATCATGGAAATGCAGGAGCATATAGTAACAATGATCATGACCCAGTCCAGGTAAGTAACCAAACCCAGCAAGTCACTGTGAACAGTACATAAGGATAACCATTACAGAAATGCCAAGAGTGCTATGTCACTTGTATTGTGTCTACACCACAGTTAAGTGCTTTTCGATGAAAAATAAATTAAGCAGAGGAGTGTCAAAGATTTCAGTATTTCAGAAATGCATAGTAAAACTAGGGAAGTTACATGCAAGTGAAGAAGAAAAGTCTGATAGAAAAATCCTCTTCCTATTCATCCTCCTCCCCAAACAACTCCATGGAAAGAAAAACCTTTTTGGGGACAAAAAAGAAATACACATGTGCATGCACACATACACACATACATGCATGTGTGTGCTCACACACTTATACTGCAGGCTTATGTGACCAAGCAAAGTTACTTTTGCAGTGCTTACTAAAGCTGATGGTATTTGGTATTTTTCACAGCTCCAGTAACAGGATCTGTTTTAGAACTATAAAAAGAAGAAAAGATACAGTCATTTACATTTTATTTTAGTCAGTATTATAATTATACCATGCATCCATCACCTCGAAGTAATTTATATCCAAAATCAAGGCTACATTTTATCTTGGCTTAATTTTAAATGTCTGTATAGGTTGTTGCATTTAATTCTCTGCAATTTTAGTCATATTATTGACACAGCTAGTATCACTTTAATTCATGGCCCACCTGTAATTCCTCTAATGATTCTTTAAACTGCTAGTTTTTTGGGTCTTGTTTTTGTAAGCAAGGACCTAATTTTGTACTTTGCTTGGGGGCGGGGGTGGATAATCTGCTACTGAATTTTATGTTCCAGAATGCTTCCGCAGGAGTTCTTTCCTTTTACTTCAAAACCTCTTGGACCATATCCTCAGTTGACACACAAAAAAAAAATCCTTCCACAAGCCCTCTTTCTTTTATTACTTCTTCAATCATTTTCTGATGAATATTTCTAGATTCTCCATATCTGAATTTTCCTATGAAATTGATGTGCTTCACCTACCATATCCAAACATCCATTAGACAGCCAGAGAGTGAGAACCACTCTGTAAGCAATAAGCACATATCTAGGGGACACGAGTTAAGTTCTTGCTCCAGCAATTTAGCCTTTTTATACAAAGAAGAATGGCTTCAGCAGGAGAAGCTGCAAGAATCCTATCCAAGAAGCCTCCCCTGCCCCAGTGGCTAGGGGTACTTTTTACTTATCTTTCAAATCCTTGCAGTAAATCATGCTGAGACAGGATCTGCACTGAGGTATCCTATATTCCATGTGAGGGCTCTAGCCATTGGGATGTGAAATTGCCATCGCTTCCTCGCTGAGCTTAAAGTGAAAAATAGACTGACCTGACTTGAGGCATTACCACCAGAAGAGATTTCATGGCTATGAATTACAAGAACGCAAGATGCACACAAGGAGAACAAGAAGCATCTTCCACAGGCCAGGTTCACCCACTTACACCAGTCAGTATACAGAATATACTGGGTTTGGTCCCTTCCCACTGAACCCACTGACTTTTGTGTCTTCTTAAGGTCATACCTCTTCCCCATATTATATACAGTGGCATTCCTCAGCCACCATTTTTACTAGAAGAAAATATGTATCCTACCAGTTAGAAAAAGATATCTAGAATATCCTACTTGGCAAGCTGGGTGGGACAATAAATAAAGTAGGTAGGATTTAAATAAGTGAAAAAATGACTGTTTAACAGAATCAGTTTACTCTTATAATCGCAAACATTTTAATTAAACTGTTGATAATAGAAATATCCTGTTACCCTCGGGCACTCCACAATGCTAAGAGGCACTCACATGTATTTGACAAGTGGATTGGAATGCATGTTTGTGTGTTTTGTTTTGCTGTTTTAATTTGCAACTGCTTCATGGACCAGTGAACCGCAATCAAGTTAGCAGTTGCATAGAAAAGTAAGCACCTACCTCAAGGATGTGCTTCTACATAGGTGGCAGAACACTTAAATATGGGTATTATAAAACCGAGTATCTAACCTTCCTATTGTTCTACCTAGAAGTAATTTGTTGAAGGGCACAGAGAAAATCAATAGTAAAGCAGGTGCTGAAACCAGGTCTTCCAAGTGCCAAGCTCACAGTCTTGAGCTATCTTCTGTCTTACGCTGTCTGTTTGCAAGGTGACATGCATTAACCCTCCAAAATTAGGGTGCCAGCCATAGACAGAGGTTTAAAAGAAGAGCTATAAGATGATTTTACATCAAGCTGCTTGTACATAGATCTGTATCTGCCACACTTGCATCCACCTACAGTTTAGTTACTGAGTCTTCCTGGTTTTCACCTGGTCTCAGCTTTTCTCCTTTTAACCCCCACAGCTGAACACATCCCCTTCCCATTCTGGGTGTCTAATTATGGGCTAGGGAGTCTTGGGGTGAGCATAAGTGGGTTTAATTTCTCTTCACCTTTTTCTGATCTTTGAGTAACTGTTGGTGTATAAAGACTTCCTGCCTTATGATGAGGAATAGGAAGGGAACAGCAAGCTGATTCCCCAAGGTCTACAAATGGGGGTATAAAACACCACCCTTTCCTCTCAGTTCACGCCTGCAGTTTCTCCACAGTCCTGTCCCATCCCAGCACTGCAGACCGCTCAAATATGTCTCCCCTTACACAGCATTTTATTGCTTCCTTTCTTCCAACAGCAAGACTATACCATAGGCAACTGACTGCCAGCTTGTGTGATGACCACAGTATACGCAGTTTTCCTTTGAATCTAGAGGTTAAACCTCGATTTCTGAGGACATGAAAGTAAACACTTGTTGGAATCAATTGTTGATATGGAATAAACTTACGCATTAAAGCGAGCTCGTACCACCACCCGGCAGAAATTCCTGAATCTGTGCTCACGACCAACTATGAAAAGTGGTTTATCAAAATACGGATGATTCTCTCGCAGCTCCTCTTCCTGGACTTTCCTTTTGAAAGACAGAACATAAATTTTTAAGTGATATGCATTATACCTGGCAAAAATATCCCTTACACTTTGTTCTTTTTTCATCATGACTCTCAATACTTTTTACTTCACACAGAGAATACTTAATACAGGAAAGTGTGCACTCGGACTTTTGATTTTTAAATACCTTTTCATTTCAGCTTGTTCTTTTTTTTCTTGGATCATTTTTATCTCACTGTCTTCTCTCTGTGCATTTCTGTATCTCACTGTGTTGGAGTGCTAGAAGGAAAATGACTCCTTTTAAATGAGGTCTGCGGGTTGTTGTTTTTTAATGTTTCAGATGAAAGCAAGATACGGTATTTTACATAGAAAGATTAAAATGAAAAATCTTTATTTCCAAATGCACTGCACATCAACTCAGTCAAGCATATTGTACAGTATTTTCTATCTACACCACAAGGCTGCTTATTTTCATCAAGGTTAATTTCAGTTTTAATTTCATGCGTGAAGTCCCTTCCAATGCAACTTTTAACTTTAAAAGCAAAGGTCTTGTAAGCTCAGCCGATCTCTCTGAACTGGAATGAATACCATCAAAGTTACTAAGGGCATAGACTGGGAAAGAAAAGGCTTTAGTTACTCTTTCAGCTTCTCAAGCCTTCTGCATATGCCGCCAGGCACCAAGTTGTCAAGAACATACAGGTAGTGACTGCAAAGCGTGGGGAGAGGGAGGGAGGATGGTTGCCTGAGCTCATCCAGCGGAGGGTACATCCAGTATTACTATTCAGAGCTAAGTGAGTCTTTGGAGCACTCCTGGAGGGGTGATGCTGGGTGTTACCCTTACTATTGGACACAAGAAAAGCCACATTTGCTTTAAAAGCTTGGTAACCCACAGTTTCTTTCTACCACCATTCAGAGTAATTCATTAATTACTTCTTAGGCAGTTGTTTTTAACTATGAAGCACATCTAGAAAATGACTATCATAGTTTGGAAATGGAGGGACTAATATTGCCCCATGAATTTTCATAGTCACAGAGATCCACAAAATATCATTATGAATTTGCAGAAGTGAAAATGCACTTAAGTGCATGAAAATACAGCACAGTGAAATCCATGATTACTAGTCTCCCTTTTAGTCTTTGTCCTTTTGTCTGACAGTTCTTGTGTTTGAAAAATATTGTTAAACTTCCATCGGAAATTTTGAAGTGCTGTTTTGCCACCTTGAGTGATTTGTGTAATTCCACAGTAAGGCTTTTTAAGGTGTCCTGGGTAGCAATTGTTGTGTTCCTAATGTAGTGTCTACAGATTCAGTGAATCTATCTCAGCAAGTATTTCAAAACCAGTAAGTCTATCACTGAAATAACCATGTCAATTATTTTGAGGATAATTCTAATGCAATTACAGTATTTGTTTTATGAATTCCTTTCAAGATATCAAGATAAATTGTAAACACAATCATAGAGAGACATTAGTCTTACACAAGCATTTATTATATAGTACATATTCTTATTTCTTATACGCTCAAATTGAAACCATCATTTCTATGAGAACTTACATCTTGAGTCAACGTTTCAAGAGATTTTCCTCTGCTGATTCGCTGGCTGTTGGAACCATGTCTCAGTGACCTGAAACAATCATAATCAATTTAACGATACATCTCAAGATGAAATTTTGACCTTTACAGGATGGCCATTATAAAGCACTGCTCTCCAGCCACCCAATATCTCAAATTCTTATCATTTTTCTCTCACTAACATCAGAAGCTTATATGTTCTTCAATTGTTTTCAATCTGGTCTAACATAAGCCAATTTCTTTCCTTCTGATCTTTAAATTGTTAGCTTTGTAGTTGGCGAAGCAAATGACATTTGAAATAAAAAGACATTTTTTCCAGTTATACAGTACAATGAATTTCATTATGATTACAATGAAGAATGTAGAATTCAGTTCTTTGTAGAAGGAAGTCATTTCAGTTTTTCACACGTTAGGTATTGCTCAAATTTAATTCTTTTCATCACCTTTAAGAATATTTTTAAACCACCCTTTCTGTCCCTGTTTACCTGCGTTCTTGTCGTATATGATGCTGGACACTAAGTATTGACCTTTCCTTTGTAGGCTGCCCCTCAAAGGATCCACTCAGCATGCGTTGTCTAGTACAGGCCCTACAAAGAAATTCCATTATGATGACACAGAATTTTCAGTATAAATGATAATTTCTGAGGTAGCATGTTCAGACAAGTCAGTTTGGCCTTCTGGGAAGCAAGTGCACAGCTTAACAAACAATAACAATAAACCAGCAATGGACTTTCCATGAAAACATTTTTCCAAGGCAATGGTCCCCACTCTGCAACATAACCGGTCATCTGATGAACCTTCTCCATGCCTCATCAAGGCCCATTAGAATTTATGGTCCCTCAGGACTTCACTAAGCGTGAAAAGGGTCAAGCAATGTACTAATCATCAGTAAAACAAGCTTCTCAGCAATAAAGATGGGAATAGTACAAGTACATCTGTCATTTTAGGGCAGCTCCCTTTCAGGGCCATATGTGGCAAAACATTTATGTACACACTCAAGGCTTAGAGCATATATTTGAGTGTTCTTCTACATAACTAGGACCATATGTAGTCTGAAGTGAAAAGCTGCACATTGCTGATATCCTGTAATATGAAATGTCTGCTCTCTGGGAATGCATTGAACTTGCAGGATTTTGTTGTGTGGGTTTTTTCATTTGTTTGCTCATTTGTTTCGTTTTGCTTTTCCTGAATTCTGGCAAACATGTTTTACACTATTTTGGCAGAAATCAATATTTCATTCAGATGGTTGGTTAGTAAGTGTGCTACGGTGAAACAGAGCATGCATATCTTTATTTTGCCAGCTACAATGAAATGGATTTGCTTAAGAAAAAGAGAGGTTTCCACTAAAAGGCACAACTCCTCTGATTGCTAAGAAATGGCACTTTGGACAACTTTGGAAAAATATTTTAACTTTCCAGGAATGCTGCAATTTTAAGTTTACACAGTGCATGGCTTATTGCTCATTTTGTGCTACACAACCATTCAGAGGAACTCACACAAGACCCAGCTGGTAATATTTCATTCTTTTTAATGAATTGAATCTCCATTTTTTTTTGAAAACATGAAAAAAAACTACATGCTATTGGAATGACCACTCTATTCGCCAGTCTACTATAAGGCTTGGATAAATGCTGTCCTTGACACCATGGGATGATCACGCTTGATGGCAAAAGATGTCCCAGGCACATTCTTTCCCCATTATGACTTTATTTTTCACTCTTCTCCCCTATGTCTCCTTCTTTTGGATTTAAACACATAAATGATAGGAGTAGGGATCCAAAGCGAGATCTGGAATGAAAATGAGAAGCTTAGAATGCTTGTCAGTGTCATCACTCCAATCATACTAGCATGCTAGAAAAATACATTGTGCTACACTGGTTACAGAGGGCATTAGATCATACAACACTGAACTACAGCATCATGCCATTTAAGAAAATTACTGTATGTCTTACAAAACACAGCTCATCTTAGCCAAATCATGAACATTTTAATACTAATGGATTTTAAGCATTACATTATAGAGGATGATACTACATAACACTGTCAGAAGACAACAGAGATATCATTTGAATACCTGTGCAATTTTCTTGTAAAAAAAACAGATAAAAATTATTTCCTAAAAATAGATCCTACCTAACTCCATTAAAATGACAATCCAGTTTTTCCCAGCAGAGACAATGGAAAGTGCTGAGGTCTGACTTCTATATAGAGGCTTCTTGCTGTGATAAAGAGGGTAACATCTTTTTTTCCTGCAAATATAAATTATTATTCTCTGCTTTTAACCACTAGAAATTATTTTTTGGGCATCAGAAAGTGACTTGCACATAAAATTTTCATGTCCTTGTACACAGGTTACTTGAACACCAAGTTACATAAACTCTTAGTGTCTATAACAAAAAAGAACATTAAATGCTCAAACAATAATTCTTTACCTGACTAATGAACAAGATGGCTTATTTGATTATTAATGGTATAATAAAATACACTTAGCCACATACTATACAGAATGGGCATACGTAAAGTGTAAGACCCATGGAAAGACTGTTAGAACTGTCTATGATCTCTTCCTAAGTTAGATTCCTAAATTCATGTTTAGAATTTATATTCATTGCCTCATTTTCAATAACTCTGGAAGCCCTGTGCTTCCTACTGAAGTCAACAGAGAAATAATGAAATGCCAGTTGTACAGCACAGAGATCAGAAATTTTTATCAAGTAACTGCAAAAAACCTTTTTGTATTTTCAGTGAAAAAAAAAGCTGTGCTGGAAAGGCCGTAGCTACTTTCGATAGCCTCTCTCTTGGCATTCTCCACTTGACGGGAATTAATGCTTTAATCTTCCTTGTATTAACTCTTAGTAAAATCCATGCTTTGTTATCCTTTTGACTCAGGATCCGGATATTTTTCAGCTGTTTAGACACCTAGAGTTGCAGATCTTCGTGGACTTTCAAAAAAGAAGGCAGGTGCCACAAAGCAGTCAGCTGAAGATCTGACTGGGCTCAACTGCCTGTATGGACTAGACCTCTATCAACTTGATGACAGTTTCAACACTTAGCTCACAGGCAGATCTGGTAGTCTGGAGGTGAATCCCACACCTGGGCCAACCATTGTGTCACAGTTTTAAAAATTTAGTGGTTTGCAAATTAGATTTAAAAATAAATGTGTTTTTGACTTGATACATCTTCACATTTACTGTAGCTGGGTGGAATCTTTTGACCTTTCTTTGAACAATGCCAGCAAAATCCCTTTTTTTTTAGCTAAAATTGTCCTTCCCATATTCCTATACCTCTTCTGTGAAATATTAGACAGGTTCATGTTCACTTGTGGAGTAAAGAGGAAGTTATGAAACAAAGGAGGAGAGACAAGAAATACGTCAAGCTTCTGGGCTTTGTACTTCCAGAACTCTGAACACAGTCCTTCATCTGCGAACTACATGCTCTAAATTTGCTTTGAAAAGCACAAATGGAATAAAATATCCTGAAAAAGAAAACACGATTCAGTAGGTTATCAGAAAGCCAGACTACAGGTTAAGACCTTACAGAACAATACGATATTGGAATACTACATATTTTGTATTACCTGCAAACAATTATGGGTTCCAAACTTTTGAAGTCCCTTAAACTATTTCATGCTTTGGAACCCCTGAAAAATAAATAGTGAACAGAGTGTTCAAGTAACATTCTTTCAGCTAATGCAAAATGTTAAATGCTTTGATCGATACTTCAAAATACTATACCTTTCATAAATATTATGAGGTCTCTTGCAGATGGTATGCATATGGCTCATTCTTGGACTTTTTAGGGAGGCATCCTTTCCACAACAAGTGTTTATTCATCTTCTTGCATCCCAGTATAATGCCAATTTGTTGTTTTTCTGTGTTATTTTAATGAGTGAACATTTATGTGTTCTGTAGTAACTGCATATATTACTACGTACTTTTGTTCTTGTTCTCCCTGAAACATGCTCACACTGACTTCTTAGCAGTGTGGTACGCTTCAGTAAAACACTCAGTTATCAACTTCATTCAGCACTGTTTTCACTATGACTCTCTATCCTTACTAAATCTTTCTATGCTCTCATTATACTTCATCTAACTTGGAAAATATGGTTAAATGTGACAGGTGGTGAATCCACCTGATAGGTGTTCTGTTTCTCTCTTTCATTTTATAAATTTCATTCAATAAGGCACTGTTTGAATAGCAAGCAAAATGCACATTTTCACCACAGCTACACTACCGTTATTTGGGAAAAATATACTATTTTTTAAAGAAATCTGAATTTGGCTGGTAAAATAAAATGTATTATTAATGCAACTTGGATAATTCACGTTTTTTCTTTTCCATGTTTTTTCTTGTTCCTTTCCATATGTCTCTAAAGGAAAAAACAAATAGTCACATTTTTTTTAGTGTCTGCTCAGTCTGTTGAACATGGTAGCATACTTTCTTTCCTTCAGCTGTTTCGTATTCTCGTTGTCATTCTTATGTTGCTGTTTCAGCTCTTCCTCTGCCAGACATTTGTAAAATAATTATTTTCCTTGGTTGGATTACAGAAGAATTGATAGAATCAATGGAGAAAAAGAAACCTGAAAGGACCATCTAGTCTATCACTTCTCTCAAAGCAGGATCAGTGATATCTACACTCTTATGGGCTGATGTTGGTCTAACTTCCTTTTCCATACCTGCGGTGTTGGGAGACTCCACAGCCCACTAACTCTGCTTCACAACAAAGTTTTACAGTGATCTATAGATATAGTGATCTTGGCACAAAACCCATAAAACAGAGCTACTTCTTACCAATGGATATGTGCATTCCAGCATTTCTTTCTGTTTGTCTTTGCAGGAGGCAGATGAAATCCAATGATGTCATACGCTTATGGAGATTTAAGAAGGTGGTGACTAAGTCTGGATTTTGCTCCTGATGACAACAATCATCATCTGAGATTAACTGGTTCTGAGAAATGCATGGTATCAAAGCCTCACAGTTATGAAGAAAGAAATCATACTCTTAAGAGAGAAAACATAGATTAGATGGAGAGAAACTTTTAAGTGATTTAGAACTGACTAATGCAAGTCAGTTTTTTAATGCAGGCAAATTTCTAATGAAGCATACCAAGAGTATGCCTTCTATGATGAAACAACTGGGTATGTGAACAAGCGAAAAGCAGTGTTTGACACTGCTCTACCGAATGGTAGGTAGAGCATTAAACCAGAAGGACCCTGATAAACTTGAGGACTGAGTCAGCAAAAGCTTCAGGAAATCAGACAAGGAAATGTGCAGTTTCACACCGGGTACAGAATAGCTCCATGCATCCATGCAGGCTGTGGAGTGCTGGCTGAGGAAAAGGATCTGGGAGTTACACTGTGCACTGGGTCTGGATGGGATGGAGTTACCTGGGTCATAACTGGATGAATGTGTTCCTGCCATCACTAAGGCAAACTGCCTACTATATTAAGGAGGAGCATAGCCAGCAGATGGGGGGGAGTTACTACCCCTCCTCTACTCAGAGCTGGAGAGGCTGCACCTGGGACAAAGTTCTGGGTACTGCAAGAGGGATGAGGAAACACAGGAGCAGGTACAAGAGGTCAGTGGCCTACAACACATGACCTCCCGGGAGACTTGAGAGAGCTGGGCTTGTTTGTTTTTGTGAAGAGGAGGTTAAAGCATGAAGCTAAGCTCTTGTTACTGCAAGATCACAGAGCAGTGAGCAATGGCCAGAAGCTGAGGCTTGGAGGGTTCAGACTGGACATCAGGAAAACCCTCAGTCAAGGGCAGGGCAATGCAGTGCTGGAACCAGAGCAGGTGGAAGATGCAAAGCTGATCTGATCCAGCGTTAGCAATGGTCCTACTTCAAGTGGGCAGTTGGATAACATGGCCTCCAAAGTTCCCTTCCGACCAAAACATCTATGTTCCTGTGATAAACAAACTAATGAAAATGTCTGCTCATTCTTTTATGAGAGGTGTTGATTATACTACTGTATGAGTGTCCAGAGATGATTTATTCAGAGATTAACTTTATAACTTTTCTAGAAGCACAGGGAATCTCATTTCTTGCTCATTCTAATGTTCAGAAAAAAACCACTGTATTTTGCAGAAATACTTGTATGAATGCAGTCTGAATTATCTTCTAGCATATTAGCAAATTAGTAGAACTGGATACTTAATTCAAGCAATTAATTTTTTTTTTCCCCCAAGATGCACTCATGGCAGTCTCAGTTTCAAACATAAGATAAATGCGCTTCACTCAATTAGCTGTTTATGAAACTGAAAGTTCCACTTAAGCATGAGCTGTGTTATTCCCTCAGGTCCAGTAAACGCATCAGACAAATCTTGACTAGAACAGTGAAAATGCTATTGCTTACCCCTAGCATCAGTTTACACTTTGAGTATAGCATCAGCTGTAATAAAAAGCAAATAAAAAGCTGTCCATTTTAAAAATAGTAGTTCCCCAAACTGTCACAATATGTATTTTATACTAAAATGAATTTTTATGATTTTGCTGAGTTTGATTTTCTTATCAACAGACCACAGAACTTTTAAGTTATTCATTGTAGTTTATAAAATAAGGGCATAAACCCTCATGTGAGGGTGACCAAGAACTGGCACAGGTTACCCAGAGAGGCTGTGGAGCCTCCATCCTTGGAGATACTCAAAAGCCATCTGGACGTGGTCCTGGCCAACTGGCTCTGGGTGGCCCTGCTTGAGCATGGAGATTGGACCAGATGACCTCCCTTCCAACCTCAACCATTCTATGATTCTGTGAAGCATGGTTTAATAGAGACCAGAATCAGGTTCTGCTCTACTGATACTTTGATTATATTTTGGACTATGTGAGACTACTTTTAATTTGCTCAGTTTCCCCATCATTCTGTGCTGTTTATAATTTATCCTCAGCACTGGAGAGAATGCACTGGTTTATATGCAACATTTTGACTGGACCTTATCCACCCCCTCTACTTCAGAAAGCCAGTGGGACTAACAAAGAATTAGACACCCATTCTTAGATAAAGATCCCACAAGGAATGAGGGTCAGAAGAACCACAGGCACAAAACTTGCCTTTAAGACCAAAAGCAGTGCCCACAGCAAGAAAGTGAGACAAAAGAGGGAAACAGTGAAGATATGCAGGAGTAATGAAATTTGCTAGAAGCTGTGGTTATTGCTGCTGAGGGAAATGCATCATAATTTTCAGAAAGAAATGGAGCTGTTTGTAATTCAGAGGCACTACTAAATGTGATTGTGTTTTGAAAAAGTTGTTCTAACTGTCTGTAATTCACTTTTATCTCGTTTCATTTTCCTCAGAAGGGTGAAGTCCCCACCTCAGAATGGGTTTATGTGAAGAGTTAAGCCTCTCTGTGCTCTGACGCTGGCAGGAGTGATGCAAATCACTGGTCAAAGTACCCAGGACAGTAGTTACTACATCCTTGACTCTGTTCCCAGGACTAACTGCACCAAGACCTCAAGGGTCAAGGTGAAGGTTGGTTTCCAAGCAAGGATCTTCAGAAAATAGGTTGTCTCCCTGGAGCACAATAAGAAAGTTGCAGGAAAATTAAGAGACCTGAGACGTCCATTTTGCTGCGTAATGTAACATTAGATGAGCAGGTGAGACACCTAGGACTGAAGGTATGAACTGTCTTGCTGGGTGGTTGAGGGCTATTTATGCCCTTCTTCCTCTTCTTGGAAGAAGACGTCAAGCTGCAGTTCAGTATACAAAGGGAAAACCAAGGTTTGAACAGAGGAAGATGCACAAGAGAGGCATAAAGGTACCTGTGTGTAATGCATATTCCTTCTATGTGGTTGGTCATGTTGAAACATTCAGAATTGCATTAAAATACAATTTGTCAAGGTTTAAAAACTAGGGCGCAAAAGGTAAGAGGTGGACTTAAACTAGAACAGACTTAAAATTCTCTTTTCAGTATGGCAATTTATCAAGTTGAAATTGCCCATGGGCAGCTTTACTGTGTAGAGGCATTGCTTTAGATGAAAGCTCCTTAATTCAGGTAGACAAAAATTAAAAAGACACAAAAGGAATCTTTTCAGAAGGGACATCCTGAATTATCTCTTATTGTTCTATAAATACTATTTCTTCTTTTGTCAGATACTCTGAATAGCTGAGACTCAGTTACTTTTATTAAGGAGTATACAGCATTTACAACTAAAGTAAAAATAAGAAAGAGAATCTCTCATGCCTTGTAAGTTTGAGTTTTTCTGTGTTCCTTGAACTGAATCCAAAGTTTCAGCTGTAAATTTTATCCTTTCTTATAACTTCTTTTCCTGTTTGTAAAACTCCCCTGCATCAACACTGGCATCAACACAGAAACACTGGCAGTGCTCAGGACCAGCACGTCCATCACCAGCAATGCACTCTATCAGCAAGCCCACCAGATATACCATGAACACAATCTTCTTATGCTGCAACAGATGCATTGGAGATGTCACAGTTCAGAGCTTATGTAACAATTTTGAGGCAGTAACAAGGAACAATAAACGGTATTTGTTCCTTTTTCTCAGGAGGAGATTAAAGACCGCCTCTGTAAATGACTTACAAGCATCCCTAGAAAGCATTAGAAAACAAATGATCCCCCATTCTGCTTACTTGACAGAAGTTCCCTCCTTTTCTCTGTGTTCCTCAAAAGTTCACCGATGATGACCCAGGAAGTAGATGGGAAAGCACAACAAATGTATATTAAATTAATAGATTAATTAAAGTAATAGATTATTAGATTAAAACTTTCTTATTCTGCCTCTGAAATTTTTCTTCAGAGGAATTCAGAGGTGAATTGAAGTGAAGTCCTTCAAGATACAAAACTTTGGCAGAAGCCGTGCTCTGAAGGACCAGGTGGAAGTCAGCAGGATTGAAACTGGAAGGACTGATTTCTGATTCTGTCCTGGTACCTCTGAGAACTTAGTGAAGTCTGAACAAAGGTTTGCTTGCATTCTCCTCCCACTCTGCTTCAGAGTTCTCCTGAAAAGGAGAAAGTTCTGTGCTGACGGAAGAATTAATCAGAACTCTGAATTTCAATTTGCAGGACTTCATTTTTTCTTCTGCGTAAGAAAGAATGTAGCCCCTATAGATGTCACAGGTTTTTAAAATTTTTTAAAATATAAAGCAGTAGGGTATTCTCTTTGTCTATGTTTCCTCTGTGGTATAGTGTAAGAAACATGCCAAACAAATTGACATTTGTGTAACCCTAGAGGTGTCAATAACATTTCACAATTGTAGAATAACATAGAATTTCATTAGAAATGTTTTACTGAAACACTGCCACGAAGCCTGCATCTAAAACCATTTTTTTAAAAGGTTTTTCACTAGGACAAAGAGACTTGTATTTATCTATCCGTAACAGTAATGCCTGTAAAATCAAGGTACATTCACTGAACTGAATGAAATGCTTACAAATAGAGCCCTAAGTTTTGTTAAAATGGAACACTTATGGTCTTGTAGTTACATTTCTCAATAATATTTTGACAAAGTGCATTCATTTTAATTAGTAATGGTTCAGGTTTTCATTACCATGGGTTTAAAGACAGACAAAGTTGCACATTAATTTCTATAGTCCTCCCTGTGCTGTATTCTTAGAAAATATGAAAAAGAACTAAAGAGCTGTAGTATTTCTCAATCACAGACATGTAATTAGCAGGCACTTTTCAAGAAACTTCACAATTCAGAAATCACACTGAGTTCCTAGTGTACTGCTCCTCACAAAACACTGTCATACTTAATCTAATCCCACAGCTGTACTTCCCAGATCAGTTATTCCTGTTTATACTGCTTATTTACCTGGGACCAGTCATTCACAATATTCTGGAGATGCACCTGCTTTGGTAAGAATATAAATATAGGAAAAGAATGATCTATAAGTTGTTGGCATTGCTAATGCACCTCATATCAACGATAGTAATTCAAATGTAAACCCAATAGTGGCATGAAACACTGCAGCATGGTGTTACCCATATGATAACTTTAGACATGGGTCTTGGAGACTTAGCAGTGCATTATTTACTTATGATGCTGAGTACTTCATATGGAGTACTGAAATGAGTGGTCATTATTAAAACATTCAGGAAATCCTTCTACAGAAGTCACAGTTCTGAAGTCTTCTTCATTGTACATTTCCTACTTGGAATATGACTAGCTGTAGTCTATGCTTTCTAATGTACAACCCCTGTCAATGCTTATGTGCATATATATGCAAGAACTGGGCTGGAATTCTTTGGACAAAAACCCACCGCTTATGAAGACACATTATTTGGTTAATTTAGAAGGAGGATGTGAAAAGTGCTGAAAAACGATCTTTCTGCATGACACAGATTTCAAATACATACTGAAGAAGAACACTCTCTCTCATGTTGCTGTTCAAGCATATAATACAATCCAGAGAAACGAGCAATTTATCTTTGATAATGAAGGCAATAGATATACTACAAAAGGATATGCTATCATAAATATTATACATGCAGTAACATTCATGAAAAACAAGGTTATGAGAAATCAGATGACAGTCAAAACAGTATCAAATCACTGCGGACTCTTACCTTAGAATTTTATTGATTGCTGTCTCTTTTTCCAGAAGGTTTCTTGCTCTGATGCTGAAAACAGATTTCCGGAGCTGTAAAATTAAGAAAAAGACAGTGTACTTTTTAATTGTTGAAAAATATAGCATGTGTATCTGACAGACCAATAAAACTTTATGATGCTGAGTGTATTTAAAATTAAACACATAATGTTCTCTATCATAAAGCTGTTTTTCACAGTCTGTGCCTTGGCTGTCCTTTTCCAGGAAAAGGGTGGTGGAAAAGATCAAAATGGTCATACAGAGCAAATTCCTTGAGGAATGTGTAAGATCCTAGCCTTATCTTTCAGCTTTTGGCCTCCCTATTCCAATCCTTACCTAGTTCTGGGTGCAAAGCAGCGGATAGTTTTGTTGACTAGCATTAATATTATTCCCTTTATTACAGATTTCTTTTCTTCTTCAGTTGGCCAAGTGTCGTGGTTTAGCCCGTTGGCAACCAAGCACCACACAGCCGCTTGCTTGTCCTGGTTTCGGCTGGGATAGAGTTAATTTTCT